CACTTTGCCCCCTTTTTTTCTGGTTATTTCTTCTTCTGAGAAGGTCAGTTGACAAAATCATTTGCTTAGCATAGTCTCTAATGTAATCGATGCTGACAAATCGCCACAGCTTTCTCTTTTCCAACTAAATAGCCCTTGCTCTTTCAGGCACCTTCTAATTTCCCATCCTTTGTATCTTGGTCTTTTATAAAATAGCTTACAGCCTGGACAGTGTTGCTCAGTAGTTGAGTGTCGACTATGAACCAGGAAGTCACGGTTCAATTCCTGGTCAAGGTATATGTCTGGGTTGCAGGCTCAATCCCCAGTATAGGGTGTGCAGGAGGCAGCCGATCAATGATTCTCTCTCATCATTGATGCTTCTACTTCTGTCTCCCTCCCCCTTCCTCTCTGAAATCAATAAAAATATATTTTAAAATAAAGACATTCTGGGGCATCCATTCTGAAAATCAGCTACCTGAGTAATGAAAACGGAATATTTAAAGTTAGAAGGGACCTTCTCTAAGGTCACCTAGCTCAAGTCCCTCTTTTATTTTTAAATTTTTTTTTTTGTAGGCCCAGAAAATTACCACAGTTTTCCATAAAGTCCACAGTGCAGTCTCCTTTCCCAGGGACCAATGTTAGCATGGGCATGGGACCCAGTTCTGTTCAGTGGACTTAAGACAGAGCTGGGTGAAGTGGGCGGCTTTGGGCCTGTTTGCTTCCCTCCAAAAAGACACCAAAAGAAGCGGATTGTCTTTATTGGATATTATTATTTGAGATATGCTGTTTGGAGCTGTTGCAACTATCTTATAAACATGAGGGGACAGGTCTGAGAGATAAAAGCCAAGATCCTGAGGATGGCTGAGTGAGTAGAAAGATGAAAAGATCCTGGGCCCCTGATGATGTCATTTAGCTGTCTTATGAATCTAAGCCTGAACTTCTCATTATGTGAGATGATAAAGTCCTTTATTGTTCAGTGTTTCGCCAAGTGTGGTCCCGGACCAGCAGTATCAGCATCACCTGGGAAATTGTTAGAAATGCAAATTCTTGGATCCCACCCAGACCAAGTGTAAAGAAAGGCTAGGAGTGGGCCCCGATAGCTGGTCCAGAAAGCACACCAGGGGATTCACATAAGCCCCCAAATGTGAGAACCACTGGTTTAAAAGCCATTGAGTTGGGTTTCTTATTATTTGCAGCTAAACATATTCTAATAATTACAAGTACTTGTTTTATATGTATCTTTTCTGGGAATATCAGTTAATTTGATGTGTTTGGGGTTTTTTTCATATTGAAGTCATTTGCACATTTAGAATGTTGTGGATGGGAAGAGCTGGAGAAATGAGAACATGTTGTATATTCTCTGATAAGAGTCCAGGGCCCCCCAGGTAGGCGGATCAAGAGTTGAGGTAGGGTTTTTAAGGTGAACGGAATTTTGGTAAAAATTTAGAGCTTTTAGAGTTTCCTAGGTAAATAGAGGAAATTCTGATATGGAAGGGGAGAAACAACTTCAAAAGTACATCTCCAAACAGAGGAGCCAGTGCCCAAAAGAGGGCAGAATTTTTCTACATGCAGTGGCAAAGGCTGTGAGGACTTGAGGGCTCAGGTGGATTCAAGAAAAGTAGTTTCAGTCCAACCGGTGTGGCTCCGTGGTTGAGCGATGACTTATGAACCACCAGGAGGTTGCTGTCCGATTCCTGGTCAGGGCACATGCCCGCGTTGAGGGCTTGATCCCTAGTGTGCGGTGTGCAGGAGGCAGCTGATCAATAATTCTCTCTCATCATTGATGTTTCTATCTCTCTCTTCCTCTCTGAAATCAACAAAGAAATGTATATTTTTTAAAAAGAAAAGTAGTTTCAGCATGACATCAAGGAGGTGCCAAGGAAACCACCAAATTGCTACGTGGGGTCCTTTGGAGCTATGAGGTGAAAGCAGGCTCAAGAGACAAGAGCAGAAATGCAGGTAGAAAAGTCCACATTTAACAGGAGAGCCTGGAGGGATGTTCAGTGTTTTCAAACTGTCCACCAGATGAGATTAGAGTTCTATTATTTAGAGACCACTGTCCAAACAAGAATTGTAAATACATTTCACTTAGTTGTGTAAATCAGAGAAATGTGGAAGAGCCGCACAACTGGGGCGAAGATGAAGACACTGAATATTTTAAAAGAAGCAATTCTGCCTTTTGTCCTTCAACTGGTGGCATCTAAGAACTGCCATGCGTAATGCTGGCTTCACTCAAACACTAGTATACCTCGTCAACACAGGGTTAGATGCCAAATGAATGAACAGTCTGCCCAGGCCCACCTGGAAACTTGTTCTTGCTAAGTGACATTAAACCTGGGTCTATGGCTTCAAGAGGGACTAACTATGGTCTGCAGATCAGCTCAATGATATTGGACTCTTGAGTTTAATGA